GCTATATGCGCATTTTCTTGCAATAGGCTAGTTGTCTTTATCTTAATGCTTTGTTTTTTTCTTGGAAGCTTTTCAGTTTTCACATGCACGGTGGGTGGCATGGTTCCCAGCTTTTAAAAGATTTTAATACGCTTCAAAAAAGTGTAGAGAGAGAGAATACGTGGGTGGGATTAATTCTACATCGAAGAAGTGAACAAATTCATAGAGGTATGAGAACTATAAAAGGGGTGGGGGAGGTTTAAAATCTAATACATAAAAAATGCATGTCGGGTCCGCTTCCCGGGTCCTTAGAACCCTCTCGGGTACGGGTATTATATTTTTGGACCCCTCAGGTCCGGGTATTATATTTTTGGACCCCTCAGGTCCGGGTCCGGGTATGAGTCCACAAGGGGTACGACCCATTGTCATGGATTTTCATTGTCCCATCAAATTGTTTTATCTGAAGTAAAGAGAGGGAGGATTTAAATTTACCTCTTGGGATATACTCTACATACACATACAAACAAAGAGAGAAATTGTTTTATCTGACTAAAGAGAGAGGATTTAAATTTACCTCTTGGGATAGACTCTACATATACAAACAAAGAGAGAATTATGAGTTTCAAGGGGGGAACATAGGACAGTGGTTTATAGGGAGAGTTGAAGTCCACTCTTAACAAAGAGAGAGAAATATGAGGAGAGGAGAACATAGGGCAGTGGTTTATAGTGAGAGTTGAAGTCCACTCTTAACAAAGAGAGAAATATGAGTTTCGAAGGGAGAACATAGTACAATGGTTTATAGGGAGAGTTGAAGTACACTCTTTTGAATGAGAACGAGATAAGAAGTGGGGTTAGAGAAATGAGTTGCCTAACCGAGAGATTTTATTTTATTTTTCCTCTTTGTGGTGATCTTTTTTGTTCATCTATCTTTGTTAATTTTAGAAAGTAATATTATGAGAGAGAGAGAGAGGATTTAGGGCATAGAGAGATGTGTGAATTTGGGTATGGGCTTTTTTATCTCATGCCATTCCTATAGTTTCTTAGAATATTAGCATGCTTGGCTGTATCACCTTACAAGTGTACTTCAGCGTAGGTTACATCGAAGTAGGAAAAGCCAAACTGGCTCTTTGTGTAATCTTATCTTGCATATACATTTGTATCCCTTTTTCTTTAATTCATCTTTTATATTTGACTATTCAAAAGTTGGCAGGTCTCTATTCAATATTAGGTTGTTATTTTTCCATGCACATACACAGTATATGTTTGATTTTATTATTGATTTTTACACACATATAAAGCAGGTAGGCGTAACTTCTAGCTTTTAAGTACCCACTCTTTCTCATGGAACTCTCTAAGCCTTCAAGAAATTGACTGTCATGCTCTCTCAACTTGCTACCAAAAAAAATAAAGCTTTTAGGTGTTTGAAATGTGCTACCAAAGGAATGCGCTTAAGTTTTATTTATGAAACTTAAATTTAGAAAAAAAGGGTAGATTTATTGAGCAAACAAAAATCTGCAAAGAGAGGGAGAGAGGAGAAATAAAAAACAAAGACCAAAAGAAGAGAGATGAAAGTGGGGGTGGCAATTGGGCCAAGTTGACCCGTGGACCTGATGGGATTGGATCGACGTGCGTCCGGGTCCATGTTTTGGACCTGGCTGGTTGGTTTCGGATCTGGGTCTGTGGTTCGTATGGACCCCTATCGGGTTGGGCCCAGTGCGGTCCGGGTTGACCCAACCTATCCTGACCTAGCTTTAAATATATAAAATATATAAAGATATATATTAAATAGAAAAAAGTTTATATAGAGCCAAGGCTCTAAACAATCAAATTGAGCCTACCTCAAAATTTTCATTAGAAGAGGTTGTTTTGATGTCCAAATATCCTCAAATTGATCATCCAACATCAAGATGCATGGACATGAGACAAAAAAGGATTTCAAGTTTTGGAAATAGTGCATATTGTAACCCATTTTGGACCGTCAATTATCAAGTTTTTATAGATCTGCACTATCGACATTATTTTTGAAGCTTTAAATTTTATAATTAAAGATAAAAATATATTTTAAGCCTATCACAAAAATTTCCAGTATTGAAACCACATTTTTCAACACTATTTAAATGTCGGCTCTAATGTGATTGTTTTGAGCCTCACTTTATACTAACCACACCCTATTAAATAATACGTAAAAGAATTCTTAATTTTTTTTTAAAATTTCTAGTCTTGGGTTTGCAGGTCCAGATCGGGGTTGGGGTTGGGGTTGGGGTTAGGGTTGGGGTTGGGGTAGGGGTAGGGTAGGGGTCGGGGTCGACGTGGACGCTACTCGACCTGTTGCCACCCTTAGATAAATGGAAATTTAGCAGTCGACACGTTGTTCACCATTGAATAAACAAATAGAGATGAAAGCAAAGAGAGGGAGAGATGATCACTTGAGACTCGAGAGAAAAGGAAAGACATTGTCAATTTTTTTTTTACTTTTAGCAACTTACGAGCTTACATTGAGAACTTCAAATTTGCATTTGTAAAATATTTGCACGTACATGGAATAGTTAAACCAAAAGTGTTCATCAAAATTTTTACATTGATAGAACATGAGTATTCAAACAATGAATAAATCACGAGTCTCTTTTTAACAATAAATTCTTAACAGTATATTATTTTTTATCTGTAAAAATAGCACATGGATTAAAGTTGCATGTTCTATTGCTAGTATACGTATAAATTGAAGTTACTAGGAGGATCTCTTTATAGGAAACCTCTCTCTCTCTCTCTCTCTTTCAAATATTGTTGGTCTGATAACTGAATTCTAAAATGCATATGCAGAATCTGGTTATGCAGCATGTCGACCACTCTGCAGGAGATCTCATCGATCTTTTGCAGGGCCTCCTTCGCTATGAACCCACACAGAGGCTCAAGGCAAGGGAGGCCCTTTCCCATCCCTTCTTTAATGGAGACTCAAGAAGGCCTGGTTATTTCTTGTAACTCTAATAATATTTTTTTTTCCTTTATCTCGGTTTTGTTGGTATTTTTTTGTTTTATGGTTGTTGGGAGGGTGGTGTTAATACCAAATTCAGTGGAAGATGCAGAATCATTGTCCGCTGGTTTTGTTGTTCTTTTTTTGTGGAAATTCTATGGGGTTTTTGTAAAGATAGAATTTCTTCTATATGATAAATTGAGGATGAGAAAATTGTAATATGACCGACACCTGAAACTTTGAAAGGGAGGTTGCATGAGTTTTAGCTGTTAAATTTTTTTTCAGTGCTTTTCTTTTTTTGAATTTCAATGAATTCTGATTTGGCCTCAACTTGCTACTGCTCTCTCTCTCTCTCTCTCTCTCTCTCTCT